ACTAGCGAAAATCACATACATGCATACATTCAATCATACATCACATGCATAATAAGTAAACGTGAAATGATTGTGGCTCCTAAAGAAAAACAAACGATAGCGCCTTGATCAAGAGATCTCTATCTCCGGCCCATCACGTCTTCCTTAGGATTCTCTATCACGAACGGACTTCGTCTTCTTATCTTCTTATAATTTTCGAGAGAAAAGAATATTTGAGGTAAAGAAGAGAATTACATCCAGAGTATAGAGATGAGGCACGACACGCAGGCCGTATTTAAAATTACAACAAATATAACTAAGCCACAATCATCCACCATGCAATAATACATAAAAGCATCACATGCATCACATCATACATATTAAAGCATACACCGGGCGAACCGCGCTCACCCCAGACCTAGTTTATTCTATTCTACGGAATAAACTATCAACAATAAATTAATTAAATTAGCAAGTAATTTAATTAAAAATCATAAAATACTTTAAATTTCCAGAATGTTAGAAATTAGGTTTTCTAAATTCCAGAAAATAAAATATTTTATATTTACCGTATTTATATATATTTAAATTTGAAAAAGGGCTTTTATTTCGAATTAAATATATATATGTTTTATAAATTGGGAAATAATTGTTGGAGACTCCCAGTAAACTTTATTAATCTGGAAATCCTAAAATTCCAGAATGAATAAAATTTAAAATTTTGAAAACCATTTTTCAAAGATAGAAAACCGAAATTATATTGTGAAAATATATTTCGAAATTCCAAAAATATAAAAATTTATTTTCCAAGCCAAAAATAAGTTCCAGAACCAGAATATGATTTTTATAGAATTTGAAATATTAATTTTGAAATTTAAAATAATTAAAAATCGGACTAGTGAATAGTACCGATCCAATTACTTCAAAAATACAAAATAAATAATATTACGTGTTTAAAAATTATGAAATTTTTTATAAAAGCTTAAAATCTCTGGTCTCAACTTATTATGAATTAAAATTAATTTTTGATCGTCAAAAATAAGTTTTCCTATTTTCTATTCAATAAACGAATTTAAAAATAGAAAAATAGGAAATTAATTCCAAAAATCGATTTTAAAATTTCTGAGTTATATTGACATGTCAAATACTTCCCAGAAAATATAAAATCTAATTTTCATAAATTTTAAGTATTTATGGCACAAATAACAAGTATTCTACACATAAACTACTTAATAAGAATAATATAAAAATACCCCAAACAGTAATTCCGAAAGTTACTGAACAAAATTATATTAGGTCCAGTATCTAAATATGGCCACCTAATTAAATTTTAATGGGATAAATTTTTGTCTCCAAAATTTATTGACTAATCTACAAAAACAATAACGGTAAAAACTACTAAACTAGTAACTTCGTAAGCCGGCTCCGATACCATTGTTGGGAAACGAGGCTTGGATAACGCAGCGGAAAACAAAATTTTATAGTCGAAAACTCGATTCCACCCAAGAACAACTTACGTAAATTACTAGCTATAGTAAGAAATTTACCTTAACGGTGAAAACGGACAATGGAGGAACGGTCGGGGATGGTTTTGAGGAGATGAACGTAGCGCCAAACGTATGAAGCCTCCAACGTATCCACACGAACTTGCTCCGGAGTCCAAGATTAAACTTGTGCTAGCAAGTTTAATATAGGATAGTAAAAACTATAATAATACTACTTTGGGAGTAATAAATATATAGTAAAATATTTATCTTATAAATATTTCTTTATAATATTTTGTGTATATTTCTAACACTTTAGAAAAATAACTTTGAACACAAAATAGGATTTTTTTTCTTCTNTTATAATAAAGTATATTTAGGAAATTGCTAGGAAATTAATGTTAAGCATAAGTCCATGTATATGTCTTAACACCATGTGTAAATGTTTAATATCTTAGCTACAAAACAAAATAGAATCCCTACATCAAATAATAATCAAATATATTAATTTGAAATTAAAAAATACTTTATGTATAAAATCAAAATGGTCTTGGATTTTCCTCTTGAAATTTCGTACATCACATATTTGAAATATATCATATTTTATTTTTGACATCAATAATTATCATATAACTAAAATGATGAAAAATAAAATAATATATATATACACACACATTCGGCGCTACATATATATATATATATAATAAATATTTTTTTGTCAAAATATAATTATCATATAATTAGAATGACACAAACAAAATATAATTTTAAAATACATATGTATTTTCGAAATACATATATATATATATAAAATTATCACAACTATATATTTAATATTACTCCCACTAGTGTAGTATACTACTCCCTTACAAGTCCTAAGTGTGTGACCCCTTAGGTATCCATAACACTGGCAATGATATTAATAAAATTAATATCATAGATAATAAGCGGTATCTAGCAACACATTATTATCCCCAGATTATGAAAAAGACGTTCATCTCATCAATACCTTCTACGACACCAGACATTCTATAACTATTATCCTTCCGTCCTAAATGTCATGATTTAACACAAGGCATGGGATGTGTATCCTTGTATAGTTAAATCAGCTGTTACTGAATCTCAAGTGGACTGCCAGGGATCAGATATTTATCAGTCTCTAGATAGCGACATATCTGGGCATGGCCATGCACTTTCCCAAGTCCTACTATTCAGTGGGCCCATTGACATTATACTTCTATACAGTAGAAGGGTTAGATCTGTATCTGTTATTCACATCTCTAAATATGCTTAGAGGCATACCCAACGCATAACTGTACGTCTACCAGTATTTCAGATAGCATTAGTTATGAATCAAAGCATACGGCCCCACATATCAGAGAATGTTATAACTTCAAGTCTGAGGATAGTTATAGCAAGGTCGATTTGAGAATACTGATAAACACATTACTGTAGATCCATGCAGTATTCTCAAGATGGGTCAATCCAGTCACATATTATCAATATAATATGCACCTACGTACAGATTAAGATATCACAATACCTATAGTCTATGAGACGCAACTATCGTCTATGGACTGAAACTATGTTATGTTACACGAGATATAAAACATACTTCAAGGCCTTTCATTCATGATAAAGTGTATAGTTACATAGGTATTTGATTGCCGCTAGGGCACCTAAATACAACAAGGACATGGCATCTCTCAAAAACATCTCCACAAATGAAGTCATTCTCACTGGGAAGAGAATCAGAAACATCTATGAAGTAATGTGGGACGATGTCAAGGAAGCTTGCCTAATCAGCTAAGGTGACACTAACCTTCTATGGCTTTGGCATAAGAGGTTGAGTCATCTCAACTTCAAAACTCTCAACAAGCTATCCAAAGAAGGGTTAGTAGAAGGTCTTCCCAAAGCTGTATTCAGAAAGGAAAGCATTTGTGATGCTTGCCAGAGAGGAAAGCAAGTCAAGTCCACTTTCAAGGCAAAACCGGCACCCTCAACTACAAGGATATTAAGTCTTGTTCGCATGGACTTATTTGGCCCTGTTACTCCAATAAGTCTAAGTGGAAAGAAATATGTCCTAGTGGTAGTTGATGATTACTCAAGATACACATGGACAATCTTCCTCAACAGCAAGAAGGAAACTCAAGGGAAACTCACCAACTGCATGAAGCTGATTCAAAACCAAGCAAGTCAGACCATCCAGAAGATCAGATCTGACAAAGGCACATAATTCCTGAATGAAATCATCATTCATTACTGTGAAGAAAACGGAATTCTTCATCAGACATCTGCAGTAAGGACGCCTCAACAGAATGGTGTAGCTGAAAGAAGGAACAGAACCTTGAAGGAAGCAGTAAGGACCATCCTAGCCGAAGCTTCTTTGCCAAAGAGGTTCTGGGCTGAAGCTGTTAACACAGCTTGCTATACTCAAAATAGGAGTATGATTTATAAAAGGCACAACAACACTCCCTATGAATTGTGGAACGGGAGAAAGCCTAATATATCATATTTCCATATTTTTGGGAGCAAGTGCTTTGTGTTAAACAACGGGAAGAATCATCTGAACACTTTTGATGAGAAATCAGATGAGGCCATCTTCCTTGGATATTCCATGGTGAGCAAGGCGTTTAGAGTTTTCAACAAAAGAACCATGATCACTGAAGAGTCAATACATGTTATTTTTGATGAAAAACATGTAGTTGACAAGCCTTCAAAGCATGATCATGAGGTTCTGGATCTCTCAGACAAGGATGAAGAAGCCAATGAAGGAGATAGGATCAAAACCTATGGAGTTCATTCCATTGGGAAGTCTACCACTGAAGACTTCACAAAGAAATCCATATTCAGACGGTGCTGAGCCTACCAGAAATCAAGGCCAGCCTTCCATTATTCCGGATCACTCAAACGGCGACAATTCCGAAAAAGACGACCTAGTGCCAATCCATCCGGAATCACTAACAAACTCTGTTCTTCAACCAGAAGCTGAACTAGATCAACCAGTCAACCCTAATCAACACAATCTTCGTTCGTTAAGGGATCATCCTCCTCAACAAGTCATTGGAGATATTTAATCTGGCGTTCGCACAAGGAGTGCTCAACAGAATCTAGAAGCTATGCTTGCTTGTTTCATCTCACAAGTGGAACCAAAGAATATTGAAGAAGCTCTAGCTGATTCTGATTGGATCAATGCAATGCAAGAAGAAATCAACCAATTTTATAGAAATGATGTCTAGAAACTTGTTCCTAGACCTACTCATCAACATGTCATTGGGACAAAGTGGGTCTTCCGGAACAAGATTGATGAAAACGGCGTTGTTGTCAGAAACAAAGCCCGGTTGGTTGCCAAAGGATATTGTCAAGAAGAAGGTATAAATTTTGATGAAACCTTCGCTCCAGTTGCTAGACTTGAAGCTATAAGGCTGTTTCTAGCCTTTGCAGCTCACAAAGACTTCAAAGTCTATCTAATGGATGTCAAAAGTGCATTTCTCAACGGAAACCTAGAGGAAGAAGTTTATGTGGAACAACCTCCAGGATTTGAGTTACACACTAAAGGAGATCAAGTGTATAGACTCAAAAAGGCGCTGTATGGACTAAAACAAGCACCAAGAGCTTGGTATGATACATTGTCTCAATTCCTTATAGACAATGGATTTACCAAAGGAGTCATTGACAAGACATTATTCAAACTACAAGATGGAGAAGATCTCTTATTGGTCCAGATCTATGTGGACGACATCATATTTGGCTCAACTAAGGAAGATCTTTGCACCAAGTTCTCCACCCTCATGCAAGGAAAATTTGAGATGAGCATGATGGGGGAACTCAACTACTTCATTGGTCTTCAAATCAAACAAAGAAGTGAAGGGACTCTCATTAACCAAGCCAAGTACACAAGGGATCTAATCAAGAAATTTAAAGTTGATCAGAAGTCATCCGTTTCTGTCCCCATGAGTACATCCACCAAGCTTGATATGGATCTAGACGGAAAGGATGTTGAACAAACTCTCTACAGAGGAATTGTTGGATCTCTACTCTACCTTACTGCAAGCCGTCCAGATATCTCATATGCAGTAAGTGTTTGCGCCAGATTCCAGTCCAAGCCAAAGGTAGCAGCTAAAAGGATTCTTAGATACCTCAAAGGAACTCAGAACATGGGTTTGTGGTATGCTAAGAGCAATACATTTGAGTTGGTGGGATACTCAGATTCTGACTTTGCCGGATGCAAAGTTGACCGGAAGAGTACATCTGGTACTTGTCAATTCATTGGCGGAAATCTTGTTTCTTGGTTCAGTAAGAAACAAAACTCCATCTCTACATCAACAGCAGAAGCAGAGTACATTGCTGCTGGTAGTTGTTGTGCTTAGATCTTGTGGCTAAAGCAACAACTACTGGATTATGGAGTCAAGACAAGAGAAGTGACAATTTTCTGTGACAATCAAAGTGCTATAGCCATCTCACAAAATCCAGTGCAACATTCTCGCACTAAGCACATTGATGTCAAGCATCAGTTCATCAGAGATCATGTGGAAAAGAAAGATATCAAAATTGAGTATATCTCAACTGAAGAACAATTGGCAGATATCTTTACAAAACCACTAAGTGAAGTCAAGTTTTCCGATTTGCTTCACAAAATTGGTCTAATTCAATTAGACTGAGTGCGGTACACGTGGCAGTCCACTTTCCACGTCTGTCAGAATATTGGGTAGGCACGTGGTCTTGGGAACAGTTAAAAACCCAATCGCCACTAACCGCATAAATTGCCCAAATTAAACCCAATCGCCACTATAATCAGATCTCAACTGCCCACTCAGCCCACTCAAATTTTTCATCGTCTTCTTCGTGAGAACCTTCTTATAGAATTCTCAAGAAACCTTATTTCTTCAGATCTTCTCACTCAAATTTATGAGAAAATGAAGAGTGTTGGCGCTAATGTCCATTTCCAGAAGTTGGAAGCCAAGTGCTCTTCACCAACGTTCTATCATCCTTTATGGAGATGATTGCTGCTCAAGAGCTCTCCAAATTCCTTCATATGGAGATTCGATTCAAGTATGAGAACGAAGTTCTTGAATTCTACAAGAATGGAAAGGTCAAGACTGTCAAATTGAAGAAGGACCCACAGAGGACGATTCAAGTCATCAAGTCCACTGTTGGAGGAACTGAAGTGAAGCTCTCTCAAAAGAAATTGGGAGAAAAGCTTCACCTTCCCAATTTTGGAGTTGAAATTGGGAGACTTCCAGCCAAGAATCTGGATTGAAATATTATTGGAATTTCTGGGCATGTTCCTTCTGGCCCAGCGAAGAAAGCTGATCTGAACAACGACTTCAAGCTAGTCCTTGAACTGGTCATCGCATGCCTCGAGTGTGGAAGTGGAGGACATGCTGATGACATCACCCAAGAGAGTGTTAGAATAAGAAACTAACGCTAGAGGGGGGTGAATAGCGTTTGATCAAAAATTGCAGGAATAAAAAAATGAATAAATGAGAAGTGAAGAAAAGAGTAAGAGGCACACCGATTTTACCCTGGTTCACCCCAACTTGTGGCTAATCCAGCCTCCCAAGAGACTCTCTCGAGCTACACTACTACCTCATTAAGCTTAACGGTGCTTAACAAACCCGTACAACTTGAGAATTCGAGTCACACGAACCTCAACGAACCTTCGAAGGAAACAGCCCTTCCTTCGAACAACAAGAGAAATACCTTATCTTGTCAAGTGTTTAAGAACACTAAAAACACTCAAGAACAATACTCTCTTTTAGAGTGGATAATGAGTAAACTAAGAACGTTCAAGAACACAACACAAGCTTCACAAAAAATGGCTCTCAAAAGCTATGAATAATTGAAGAATGATTTGCAATTAAAGAGTAGGAGTTGTGAAGTAATGTGATGTGTAAAATAGACCCAAACACCCCATTTTATAGTAGAAAAATAGGCTCCAACGGACCAAAGTATTTAAGGGGTGATTGGCACAATTTGTGGGATTTGATGAAAATTGGATCTGTTGAAATTCACCCAGACAGCGCTGTCCTAGGCTTGGACATCGCTGTTCTAGGCTTGCGTTTTGAAATATGGGAAGCAACGGTCATGCCAACAGCGATGTCTAAAATCCCTACATCGCTGTTTTGGCCGTTGACTTCCAAACAAGGAAAGTTTTAGCCTTGAATTCCTTCCATCGGTCAGGTCTCTACATCGATGTTCCATACTAGAACATCACTGTTTAGGTCTGCCTTTGAAGATGGAAGTTTGGCCTGACAGCGCTGTTTCTGAGTCAACATCGCTGTCCAAAAACTTTCTACCAATAAACAATATCTTCGGCTTAGGTTGGACAGCGCTGTAGGGAAGCCTGCATCGCTGTTCCAGAAGTTTCTGGAAATCCAACCTTGGCTCAATAGCGATGTCTAATGTCCCACATCGCTGTTGGAGGACTTAACGCCAAAC